CCCAAGAATCGTCATTAATCATTATCCCAAATTCAATAGGCTTACTTCGTTTCTCACCATTTCTTATAATAATTATTAATTCTTTCAGTAGGATCTTATCGAAAGATTTGTTCTCCTGTCTGTTTAGCAATTTTCTGTATTAGTACAACTGTTTTCTTCTTATTTTGCCCCGCCTTCTTGATTTCTAAACTATTGGTATAAAACACTGTTGAATGACTAGACAAAATAGGGATCAAAATATTAAGTTCTTAGAATAATAAACAGTTCCTATCAGATAGTTGTGCCCCCCCCCCCCTTCACTTTCCCTCTTCCCTTCCATGGGCCCACCCCACTACTTTCTACTCATCCCTACCCCACCCTTTTGCACTCATTCCCTCCAACACTACTATTATATGATTCTGTAAAGAATACATTGCTGTTCGCGCACATTTGACAAATGGGCACACCACGCATAGTGCTTCAAAGGGAGAGAGAATGGTCCATGTCTGACATGCATCTATTTAGTATAACTGATAATAAAATGTCTTTGTCGTGAAGTAGCAACCAATAACATGTACAGCTTCAGCTGAACTTTTCATAAATTCAAACTGAACATTTCTACCAGATCAGAAGCTAGGCCTTGTGCCAACAACCCCTAACAATATCCAATTCTCCTCAGACCTCAGACCGGCTGAGAACTTTCTTTTAGACTTTAGAGTGAGTCCTCACAATACATTATATAAGATTCCCAGGCGCCCGCCATCCTTTCGCTTATTGGGCTGATGCCAGGCAATGCCAGGTATTTTGCCAATAGGCCGAGGTGGCGCTGTTCTTTTGAAGCTTCTCCAAACAGCTTTGAAATTTTACTCCGATTTCTTTTTTTTTTTAATTAGCCAAAGCCTAAATATGAGAGCATTTTCATAATTCATCACAGTGGAGTACCTAGTTTACATCTTATGCTAAGGAATCGTTAAATGTGTTATCGCATATTGATACATTTTTTTGTATGACATTATGCACTACATTTCCATACTCTGTTTATTAGCAGAAATATAAATTGGCATTTAAATCATCAATCAGTCTAATTTACCATTTCTTTAACTGTCTACCCACAAAAAATAGTTCTGTGAAAAGAGGAAAACTCACATGTTGAAAAAAAAAATGGTTTGATTCTTATCTATTAGAAAGTATTCCATGAAAGATTTCACGCCCAAGAGTGTAATCCTCTTGACAAACTGCTCTGTTAATAATTGTGAATTGGTTTTGAATATGGACTTGAGGAAAAGATGAACAAGTAATAAGATTTGAAATATGCAGATCTTTGAAACTCTATGAGGCTTACTTTCACTAGTAAGTCTAAAAACATTCTGCCAAAAGTGCAGTGTTTAATTTGGCCTTGGAATGACAAAAGTTTTGCTTCAGTTTGACCACTTGCGAGAGTGCCGATGAAATCTCCTCTATGATGTGATACAATATGTCTCTCTATGCTGTGGTTGTGACTCCCGCTCATATTTTGAGGCTGTGAACCTGTACATTTAACATACATATTATACTTCATAGTGAATGTGGTAATATTGATGTGTTGTATTTTTTAAAATCCTTCTCTTTTTATTCTTTAATCAGTGCCTCTTATTAAATAGTTGAATGTTTTGTCCTACATATATCTCATAACAATGCTAAAAAAAATGTTGTATGCTTTAAAACCATTGCATCAAATTCCATCTCATACCATCAAGACTAATCCACACTTCTAAACCTAAGCTAGAGCATGTCAAACCAAATGTATATTTGCATTGGATAAAAATCAGAGCCCTGTTAGTTCATCAACATCTGTCCTTTGTGTCCGCTTGTGTTTGTATTATTTTATTACATAAAATGCAAACTGAAAATTATTTATCATCATTTTCTTCTGCTGCTTATGAAAGTAAAGGTCACAAATTAGTTTCTGAAGTCTTTTTTCTGTTATGAGATTACATAGCCTACAGGGTGTCTCAGTAATAAAGTACACATTTTTAAAAACTCATATCTCAGTAACGACTCAAAGAAATAAAAATGTTATGTATTAATGGACAGCCCATCCGAATACATTCTTTTTATTTTATTGTTAATAACACTCAATCAAAACTAAAAGAAAGCAAGAATAGAAACATT